AGTAACCATCTCTTTTCCAGGACTCCTTCCAAGCACTGAATAGGACAGCCGCTTTACCTCTATTCAGAAAGAATGTAAAACGCACTAATTTATTGAGAGGTAAACATGCAACAGGTACTGTACATTACATAAACACGTGTGGGTAAACAATAAAATTGGTGCTGATCAAAATAGATATCGATTGACCGCTTTACTCGAAGTGCTGCTCTTTGTCGAACATGTACTCGCCCAAGCCCGATCCAACTCGTTTCAAGTTCGTCACCATCTTGCCCATCTCGCTGATGGATTCGGTCTAAAAATTTTTCAGATATTTGCTGTAGTGGTGGGTGGTCCCAAATGGGCGGGGTTCCCCTCACTCACCTGTTCTTCGAGCATCTCGGACTCGAGGAAGTCAGTAAACTGTGGATCATTAGACTCTGTCGCTACAGTGTGCAGGTCGAGCAGCGCTTGATTATTGAATTTCTCCAGCGCCAACGCAGCCTACAATGAAAGAAATGTTTATGGATTTACCAACCCATCGATTTTTTGATTTGGAGGAAATCCTTGCCTGGAAGGCTTCCAGCGCGCTTCCCCACTCGTCCTTCTCGGGTTTGTTTATTGCTTGCAGTACAACTCGTCCACCACGAAGGTTTTGCATCTTCATGAATTTGGATGCATGCCCACGTTCCTCCTCGGACTGCTTTTGGAAAAACCTAGAAAAAATCAGATTTTCGTAAAATTAGACTCAGCGCCTTGGAAGGCTAATCTGGCTACAGCCATAATCGCTCTAAGAAGAGTTAGACAGAATGGGTGAAGTGCCCTGCACTAGAATGGAGGGGGTGGACAAAGTCGGTACGCATTGTGACTTGTTTCTAGCTCACGTCAACTGTGCACAGTGATCATTTTGCACGAATTCGTTGTAATACCTTGCAATTACGCACAACCACCCCCCCCCCCACCCCCACTTACGATGAGGAGAGCTTGATTTGGGACGAAAAATGTCCGTTGAGAAGTTCGACTTCCTGAGCACGAACCCCACTATCGTTTGGCTCGAAAACTTTAAAGGCTGTGAAAACCATGGCCGGAGGGTGAAGTGAATTGGACGCCATTGGTGAACCAGGCTCCTCAGCGCGTTATGGGGTGTGATGGGATCACCTCTCATTTAATTCCACCAATCACGTCCAATGGCGTCAATAAAATCGCTCCGCCCTCCAGCTATCGTGTGCACTGCCTTTAAGGCCGGCGTCAAAACAACCCATATTACATTAATTTACTGTAACACTACTTCACGAGCTTCAGTGCAGTCAAGCAATTGCTAAATCTTAATCAGTAACACTTGCATTGGCTTCACTACTAATTCAAATGCGACATTTCCATGTACAATGACTAAATAAGTGCAAAATGAGTGAAAATCATTCCAAGAAAGTTGAACCATCCCTCAAACAAAATCTCCTCCCAAGACAAGATTTTGGCCATAAATTTGTAAAGTGGAGCTGAAATAAATAGTGGAATTTCCAACTCATCAAAACTTTTGCAGCTTCAAATCTCGTTTCTCGAATAGCATTTCACTCATAAATCAAGGACCCTGATATGTGGCAAGAATCTTCACCGAGAAGAAACAAACTGAGACCGCGAAAAGCGCCCTGTCATTTCGTTATCAGAACTACGCCGAAGATAAGATACGCGAATGCAAAGCACTTCATCATTTGCAATGTTATCGACATCGCAGAATCTTCACTACATCAGGAGCACGCACGGGGATCGGGGCAAAATGGGGTCATGTCGAGTGAACCCTCCTCCTTCAGAGTCTTACAGTGCTTACAACCTTCAGCTGATGGTGTGAATGACGGGTTGTCACGTGTACAAGCTGTTAAAGTTGGGCTACAGAATGAGGCCAGTCCGGATAGCTATTCACGCAATCGCTTTGGAGTTTGAAGTAATATAGACGTTCAGTCCAACTCTCACTGGGTGAAATATGTGGCAGAGCGACATCGTCACGATCGAAGTACACTGACATGGAGAGGTAGACGTACGAGGCGTATAGTTCGATGTTTATCTGAAAGAATCATCACGTTCATGTAATGTACCGCCTGAAGGGACCTTAAAGGCACACTTATAACATCAACAATCCAGGATGCAATAAGATTGGACCGGTTTATGCTGTCTTTGTCGCTTTCAAAAATTGCGCTGGCAAAATTGGATTCGGCCAGTTTAGAAAAAAATAGAGAGAAATAACGCTGAAATGGGCTAATTTTTCTCGGGCTGTAGTATGGTTGAATTGGTTTGAGAGGAGAGACATTAGAATGGTTTAGTGGGGAGTGTCGCGATGATGTTATAATAAGAGGGGGTGAGAGAATCAGAGACCGGATTTAGTAGCATTCTCGAATAACGATTGGTGTTTGAAAAACTGGTTGTATGAGGTCTAACATAGTGACGCGATTCGTGGGTACGAAATCTGGTGGATGAATGGATAGATCCTGGCTGTGCAAGCTTAATGCCTTAGTCATTGTCTGCCTGTGCAAGGCGTGATTGGCGAGGGGTTGTCGTAAATCCTACAGTTGATACCGATTTCTACGGACTCTTGAAGCGCGGTTGCGACCCCCTTATGGAGTTGCGCCTTAGAAATGAGATTGATCATGTCACTAGCTTTAGATAGTCTTTTCAAGCCCGTATGCATTTACAGCACACTTATTCTTTGATGACTGATGAATTCTCAAGCGTCTAGACCGCCACAACCTTCACTATCACGCTGGTGCTGATACCTTCAACTGGTTTTGGCATATGGAACACCATTATGATTAAGCCTAGCCCTGACGGGACAACGCAACACAAGGCATGCAAACCACCTCATAGTGAATCCTATTTCTGGTCGCTCTGCGTAATGAGAACTTCCTCAACTCCTGGGCACGGTTGCAGGAAACGAGGCCCTGCGTTCTGGAAGGGCACCGGAAATTCACAACCCCCCCCCACTTGGGACACATTCATTTATATCATCTCTACGGTCATTATTAGTATATGAGAAGAATTACGCGTTATAAAAAGCTCACTGCCACCTATATGAAAATCTCAATACGATCACCTACACAAATTTTTTCCTTTTCGTTTTTTTTTTTTTTTTTGCTCTCTGCTTCGCCATTTGATTGCCCTACCGTTCTCCATCAGTATCTTGGGCGGTGTTCTTAATACGATCTACCAAATAGAGCAACTCAAAAGGGGGGCATTACACGGGCGACGTTCGTAAGTCATGGGGCTTTACTGATGGGCCTTTTTTCGGGCCATAATCAAGCTGCCGAAGCTTCACAAAACTGTACTAAGACGATCACTAACGATAAGTTCTCTTAGATCCCTTCGAGGATATGTGGCCCTTGAATATTAGCACACTAAGAAATAATAGTAACACGGATAGCTGGCTCAGTGCCCCCTCACAACATCACAACACCCCTGTTGTTCCCTTGCAAAAACCTTCAAAGATCTCCTAGCCACTCGTCAATCATCTTGGAGGATCAACCCCAGATGAGGTTGAAGAATCTTTTTGCGTGTGTGAAGCTGCCCACGGGTACCACACGAGTACTGTTGTCGCGGCTCGAAGAATACGCGACAACGGCGCTAGGGCCTTACATAATGAGCGTATGACGACTAATGTGAGCTAATGGACGAGATACCTCGCGCTCGCCCCATGCAACGTGGGTTACGACGTAGCGGATGAAATAATCGAGAAGTAGAAAGATATGGTAGCCTCATCGATGCGGTTGTCAAAACTCAAAAAACTCAACTCAAAAAAGTCTAGACACGACCCTACCATGTCATTATTACCAATCGCCGTTACCCTACCAATTTGAGACGGGATTGTTGCTTTTGCAGGCAGTTTATCCTTACCTATACATGTTAAAACCACAACCCATTGAAAAGTGACTAGAAAATTGAAAAACTGAAAGTGAATCACCCACCTGTTTATTGACAGCCGCCTCCAGCTCTTTGGAGTAGTTCATGCGCACTTGGGATTCCATGATTCTAAAAACTGAACATTTTCATTCTGCAGAATAACAGTAAGAGCGACGATGAGAAGAAAAAGAAAACATGAAAAATGAATCGAATGACGATCACTTCGAGGGGAGGTTGACGGCGTATGGACGACACGTTATCTCAGTCTGCCTTAATTTAAGCCCACCTATGGGCGGACCCAACCGCAGCTGATAACGCTGTCAAACCTTCCTCAGCAGATAACGGTAACAGTGATGTTTAGACAAAGGCACACGAGCACTAAGTCCAATGGTTAATTTGCTGATTGATAACCAGCAACTGTTTGCAATAGGAAGGCATGCGATTCTAGGCGAGAAGGATGAAATGAGCATTTCGGACAGTAGTTGCAACAAAAAATATGAGAGTGAGAATGAATAGAAGTGTCTACGCCACACACGTGTCAACCATTCAAAATCGCCGATACGATTGAAAGCGCTCGACCCGACCATGGCTTGGAATGACTTGCATTGCTGCGCCTGTTCTACCAGATAAGAACATGGCGGACAAAAGAACTGAGAAGGCCATGGAATCGGAATCGAATCGTGAGGTGCTCGAGCAGTAACAAACCACGGCGCCGTTCAACTAAGCCGTAACGCGTACTAGTGTGAAGTAAGAATGATGGAAAGAGGATTTTATTCCTCAAAAAAAAAACGGAAACTCTCACTGCAGCTGAGAAATTACTAACACGTCAAGAAAACGAGGTGGGAGTTTGTAAGCAATGCCAAGCGAACGAGATATGCTGCACCGGGCCCCAATATCGCTTATGAAAGTCATTATGAGACAGTCCCGAGTAGGTGAGCCTTCACTGAAAGATTAGGTTCGGTTTCTTACCGAACAAATTGGTCAATGGGAACAAATTGTGGGAACGAGCTGCTTAGGTACGTATTCAGAGGGATGACGGAGAGTGCGTCATTTATCGCAGAAATAACTGCCAAAGAGCACCACTGGTTACCCACTGCAAGGGTTCGGTAAAGTCGGTATGCAGTTAACATGAAGGGCTGTAAATAGGTCAGGGCTGTGAACAGATGTCATCGATCGAAGGATAGAAGTGATAAAGGTTCCACGAAGGCATCTACCCTTGATCGTCCGAATAATGGTCACTGTCCAGGCAATGGTTGCATTTGCGCGCAACTGCACCGTGACCAAGAAAAACAAAAAACTGTGTCCGCTATCGGACAAGTCTACCAAACAGGAAATAGCCGCAGTTTCATAAAGATAATGCCCCAGGTGTTGCACTTTGGTGTCCATACTAAAAAAGGCGATCTCAACGTCAGTACCAACCTGCGTGAGCTCACCAACTACTCATCTCGTCTTGCCTCGTTAGCAAACTAATGGTAAAGTAAGAGAAGGGTGAAGCAACCTCCCCCATCAACTAGATAGCATCAAAAGGTGACCTTAAAAGGAGATTCCACGATGAAGTCGGAGGTAGAAGAAGAGGAAATATACCTTGTCAAAAAGTAGGCGCGTCCCCTAGGTGTGCGGGACGACACGCGTTTTGCAGCAAAGAGTGTGCCCCCAGCGACCTAGCATAGCCGTACTCGCGCCGCTCGCGCCTCTGCACGCCTAGCCTCTCGCCGTCTAATTTAGCCGTTAAGCAGAGTGAGAGTGTGTTTGCGTTGAAGAGGGCAGCACCGATGAGGAGTCGCATCAATGAAGAAATCAACAAGCAAAGAAGAGGCCCGATTTGCTTTGGGTCTGAGCCGTTTCTCATGGTTCTTTCTCCATCCTTCCACCACTGCCCCGCACTACCTTGATTTCTAATGAGCACACTTCATAACAAATCCCCCATTAGAGCGCCAAAGTGAGAAGTGGCGGCTCCAAATCACATATATGGACGGTAAAAATCACGACCACTGAGAAAAGGGGATAGTACCGACTGTAGTTGGTCACACTAGCCGACCTACCCTTGTGGAGTCCATATTTTAAGGAATTGTCATCAATTCTGGCATGCAGTGAGACAAAGAAAAAGATAACCTTCAATCAGGCTGAATTCAAATTAGGGCCACCACCTCGAATTCACCATGGCAGTGAAATTGGAAATGAAGCGACCAGCAGCAGTATTCGTAAGTTACCCAAGTTTCAATTGAAAAGAAAAAGAAAAATCAATAAAGACACGAAGCGAAATGGACAAAGCGAGTGCCGATCGGATGCGCAGACAAGAGTCGCCAGCGCCAGGGGCACCATCTCGACTACCGCCCGCAGACGTCTTGAGTGAATCGACGGTCTGTCAAGAGACGCATCAAGAGTATCTGTTAAGAGGTGCCGCAAACGAGCGAAATACATTAGAAAGCCATAGTAGGATAGAAGGACAAAGTGGACGTCGTATGGAAAAATAAAACAAAAGCCATGAAAATGCTATTCACAACGGAACGTGAAGTCTGGAAAAGCCTCCTCGAAATTGAGTTATACACGTCGGAATCTGGAACTTTCAAGTATGAAGGGGTAAACAATATGTCTAATACTCCTTTTCCTTCTGTTTTTTTTATGAATGTGCGGTGCAATGGATGTTGTGCCTATACCTGCATGTAGTCCCTGTCGTCCAAATCGTGCCCTAACCCTTCAAAGCTTACCAGGTCTTTCATAATCTTCACGATCAGTCACCTGTACCGTGTAATCTTGGAAGGTAAAACCAGTAACTCTTACCTCGGTTTACCCCCAAAATCCATTGCATAGGTTTCCACATGAATTCACTAATAGGGGGCCGAGTAAAAGTTGAATGCTTCGCGCATCTTGGAAAGAGCTGTTCAACCTGTTTATTTTTTATCCTCAGTCCTCTACCTTTTCGATTTTTTTCTTCGAATAATGGCGTGGCGATTAGTGCTACTATCTACTATTTACACAAGGCTTTTCGATCTCCTCCGATCGTCATGGATTACTTTACGGAGGTTAAGCGGGTTAACAACGCATTTTCTTGAATGAATTCCCAAATTCTTCCCAGGTATCAACTTTTCTTAAGAGTTCAGAATGTTTGATTTTTGCCCCGCTTCTTTCACGAAACAGTGAACGAACGATACCAACTCGCGACCTAAAAGTACTATATTCAAAGTGAAATTATGTATTTAATTGCAGGCAAAATGGGCGTCAGTAGAGCGGATCGCGTTGGTCTCCTTTTATGCGGTCACGCACTCGATATTCATTCGGAATCACAGACGCATTGGATTAAACTTAGCGTGCTACGAACTATGTCTACCAGCATGCTCTCCCATGAACTTATGCACAATCCGAGTAGAAGTCGTGTGAACGATTCCCCTTCCTGAAGGATAGAGCCATGGAGGATACT